AATCGAACTATTCTCAACATGGCAAGGAGTATGTTGAAGAGCAAAAATATGCCAAAAGAGTTCTGGGCTGAAGTTGTTGCTTGTGCGGTGTACTTATCAAATCGGTGTCACACCAAAAGTGTTCGTGGAAAAACACCACAAAAGGCATGGAGCGGTTTCAAGCCAAAAGTTGCTCATTTGAGAGTTTTTGGGAGCATCGCATATGCACATGTGTCAGATGAGAAGAGGTCTAAGCTTGATGACAAAAGTGAGAGGTATGTCTTCATTGGCTATGATCAAAGTTATAGAGGTTATAAATTGTATAACCCCAAAAATGGCAAGGTCACCATAAGTAGAGATGTTGAGTTTGATGAATATAATGCTTGGGAGTGGAAATCTAAAGAGCAAGAATACTCTTTTAGTCCATTCTTTGAAGATGATGAAGAAGAAGATGGGGAGTAGGCTATCACATCACCTTCAACACCTCCGCCACAAGATCAAGAAGAAGGGGAATCAAGCTCAAGTTCAAGTGAAGCACCTCAAAAGAGTAGAAGTCTCAGTGACTTGTATGAAAACACGGAAGTGGTAAGAAATGACTTGTATGATTTTACTCATTTTTGTTTGCTGGTGGACAGTGAGCCTCTAAGCTTTGAAGATGCTTTCCGAAATTTCAAATGGAGGGATGCAATGGATGAAGAAATCAAAGCTATAAAAAAGAATGATACATGGGAGTTAGTCACACTTCAAAAAGGCAAAAGCACCATTAGAGTCAAATCAGTGTACAAGCTAAAGAAGAATTCCAAGGGAGAAATAGAAAGGTACAAAGCAAGATTGGTAGCTAAAGGCTACAAGCAAAAGGCATTGACTATGATGAAGTATTTGCGCTGGTTGCTCGTTTGAAAACAATTTCCTTTGTCATTGCTTTGGCGGCACAAAATCAATGGAAAATTCATCATATAGATGTGAAGTCGGCTTTCTTGAATGGCCTATTGGAGGAAGAGGTCTATATTGATCAACCTTCGGGATATAAGGTTGAAGGACAAGAAGATAAAGTCTTAAAATTAAAGAAGGCTTTATATGGGTTGAAGCAAGCCCCGCGAGCTTGCAATAGTAGAATTGACAAATATTTCCAAGCAAATGATTTTTCTAAGTGTCCACATGAACATTCCCTCTATGTAAAGATTGCTAAAAATGGTGACATCTTACTTGTTTGCTTGTATGTAGATGACCTGATATTTACAGGAAATAATTCAAAGATGTTTGAAGAATTCAAGAAAGCAATGGCTAGAGAATTTGAGATGACGGACATTGGCCTAATGTCATACTATCTTGGAATTCAAGTAGCACAGAGGAAGGATGTCATTTTTATTTCTCAAGGAGTGTATGCAAAGGAAATTCTCAAGAAATTTGAGATGGAGAATTGCAATCCCGTAAGCACCCGTTGAATGTGGAGTTAAAATATCCAAGCATGGAGATGGAGATAGAGTCAATCCCACATTTTTCAAGAGTCTTATTGGAAGCTTAAGGTATTTGTCATGTACAAGGCCGGATATTCTTTTTGGAGTTGGACTCCTGAGTCGCTTTATGGAAACTCCTACTACCTTGCACTTAAAGGTAGCCAAAAGAATACTTCGGTACATCAAAGGTACGCTTGATTATGGATTCTTTATTCATCTTCTAAAGAATCCAAGTTCCTGGGATATTGTGATAGTGACTGGGCTGGTGATATTGATGATCGGAAAGGTACTACTGGGTTTGTTTTCTTTCTTGGAAATTCTGCATTTATATGGAATTCTAAGAAGCAACCAATTGTGACTTTGTCAACTTGTGAAGGGGAGTATGTAGCAGCTTGTTCGTGTGTTTGCCATGCAATTTTGGCTAAGGAGCTTGTTGGAAGAACTTCACCAACCACAGAAGGATGCTACAAAGATTTTTGTTGACAACAAATCGGCTATAGATTTAGCCAAGAACCCGGTATTTCATGAAAGAAGCAAGCATATCGATACGAGATATCATTTTATTAGAGATTGCATATCTAATTAAGTTGTGGAGCTTGAGCATGCGAAGTCTGGAGATCAAATTGCGGATATTTTCACCAAGCCTTTGAAGATTGACGCTTTTCAAAAGTTAAGGATGGCGCTTAGAGTAATGAAACAAGTTTAAGGGGGGATGTTAAAAATAGTAATAAACTTGTTTCCATTTGTCCACATTTGTTTAGATTTGTTTACATAAATTTAATGTTTTCATACATATAGTTAGAAAAGAGTGAGGTGTGGACATGTGTGAATTTGTGTGAACTAGTGTAGGCATGTATGGACTAGTGTGTACATGTGTGGACTTAGTTAATATGTACACATGAAGTTTAGGCTAGATACATGTAGGAGTTCTACTATAAATACCCATGTATGCTAGCCATTTGGAGCGAGTGAAGTTGAATAGAAATCATCCTTTCCTCTACCTCTCTAATAGTGAGTTTTGAGTGTTTGTTTAGTTGTCTCGCTCTACCAAAATTTCTAACAGACCAAAGGTGCCTTAACCTTTGGAGTTGTATTCAACAACATAGCTGCCTAGGCATCCTTCACCATTTTAGCTAAATTCGGACTAAAAATATTCAGTGTTGGTGTGGCTGCCACTGCCTCTTGCTCATCAACTGGAATAATTTCCTTCGAAACAACATGTTGTCCACCTGTATGCTTAGAAAGAAGTTGTTGTTCTGGACTGCCTGGAGATTTTGGAATCCCAGATTTTGAAGTTGCACCGCGATCACACCGCTACATAATCATCGCAATATCATCCAAAACAGGTTCGTGTGTCAGAACATCAAAAGAGTTAGAAACTCTAAGGTTCTTTGAGTATCTGATTCAAGTGGATCAGCCACATCAACACCTTCCAGTTCTTGCCCCTCCATATGTTGAACAGTAGGTTTAAAACCAGCAGGTTTTTCAACTACTTCCACACGTGCAGCAGTAGGTCGATGACTATGCCCAGGTCTCTTCTCCTGCCCAGTTGGTGAAATTTGCGTATGAGACTGCACCTATATTATCAATCCTAGATGCATTTAATGTAACTGTAGCCTCCAAGTTTGAACCAGCAGCAAATGGTTCTTCTCCAGCTTTGTCCAGTCCTAACACTACTACTATTGATTTATCAGTTGGTTCACTAGCTGCTCGATCACCAGATGCCACCATATCACTAGCAACTGATTTTTCCAACAGTTCAGCAGTCGCAATTCGATCATGTACCCCACCTTGAGTCACATCTTGTTCTTTCAACACAACAGCTTTAGGATTAGGGACCCTTGTAGAAATTGTACCAGCAGGTTTTGCTAACTCCTGTTGAAAGTGCCCAGCAGTTTCAACATCACGATCATCCAGTTGGTTCTCTTTTTGAACCTTCTTCAAAAGTAAACGACATACCTCCTCTTCATGACCTTGATGTTTGCAAACATTGCAATATGCACGTAGATTATCATATATAATTTCCTGAAATTCCTCCAAAAAATTTCCAGTTCTATTTTCAACATGCTGCAGCCTTATCCTCTTTGGAAGATTATCGGCGAGATCGAGTATTACCTTAACTCTAGCAGTGCTAGGTCTTGATCGAGTTTGAGTTGCCTTGTCTATTGCGATTGGAGTGCCTACTGCTGAAGCAATTGATAACAAAGCCTTCCTTGCAAACAATTCAGGAGCAAGATTTGGCAGTGATATGCACACCACAGCCTTAGTGGTTTCTTCCTTTGGATTGAATCCAATAGACATGGGAACACCCTATATTGATGTTCATCTCCTTTGGTGCATAAAATAGTTTACTGTTCGCGATAACGACATCACGAAATCCTCCAATTGATCAAACCTGATCAACAACTGCCTTGGCGCTAACCATCCAGTTAAAACATGGCCCTTAACTCCAAGAAGTTTGGGCAGAAGTGATTGAAGTTCCTGCACGGCTGGTGCGCGAGCAGATAATTTTACCACATTGCCAGATGCAATCCTTCTTCTCTCGAAAACTGTTGCTGCTCCTCCATGTCAAAGCAAATCGTTTGTTCTCCATGAACAAAGTCGATTGATTTTAGTTGAGTTTGAATCAAAATACCATCTGGTTTGTGATACATGATTTTAGTAAGCTCATCTCGACTAAAGAAGAATTGAGAAGCAAAAGTAAAGTCAGTAGTTAGTAGTCCAAATTTAGTTAAAGAGAGGGAAAGTTAGTTACGTTAGTTAGTAGCTGAATAACAGAATTTTGTTATTAATTCTGTTAGATAGAATCTAGTTACATTTGGAATGTATTGGAATGTATCAATCATTACATATAAGGATTGTAAACATCATTACAGGATATGATATACAATTACACAATTTCTCTTAAATCTCTCTATTCTTCTTCTTCCTTCTTCTGTCTTCTCTTCTACTCTTCTGCAATTCTTTTCTGCTTCCTCGATTTGTTCCTGGAGCAGTGCTATGATCCTCGAATTCTCTTGAATTCCTGCAATCGTGTAACATTGGTATCAGAGCTTTGTGATCCTTGGAACCATGGCAAAAGGAGCTCGAACTACTGACAGTACGAATGAAGAAAATCCTGATCTACGAGAGTTGATGCAGAAATTGATAGCTGATGTAGGATTTTATCGGGAGAAGTCTTAGCTTTAAAGCAGTTGGATTAGGTAGTCCTTGAATTGAAGGAACAGATGACAAATTCAAGGGAACACCAGAAGGATAAAGCTCCATTAGCAGAGGATGATGGACCTTCTGAAGCTAGATCTCATCGAGAGAAAAGTCCTACGAGTTGTAATCATCACAACTCCAACTTCTCTAGGTGGTCTAGGATGGAGTTTTTACGATTCAATGGAGAAGATCTGAGATCGTGGTTGTTCAAAATTGAACAATTCTTCTCTATGGAAAAGGTGGATGCTGAAGAAAGGGTCGAAGTAGCTGCATTGCAGTTGGAAGGAGAAGCCATTCGGTGGTCTCTCTTTCATGAGGTATAGGCAGTACTTACAACCTGCTACTTGGAACGAATATGTGATGGCACTGGTGGAAAGGTTTGCTGATTTCGATGATCCTATGGAGAAGATCAAGAAGATCAAGCAGACTGGGAGTGTGAAGGAATATCAGGCTGTCTTTGAAAGAAATTTGAATAGGGTGAGACTATCTCAGGAAAATGCAATCAGTAGTTTTATTGGGGGGGTTGAAGCATGAGTTGAACATTGCTGTGAAGCTGACTAATCCAACACCTCTATCTCGAGTGTACAGAACTGCAAGGATGCATGAAGTTTATCTGGCTGTAACTAAACAACCTACTTATACAACAAGTGTTTCAACTAAAAGATATGCAGCACAAAGCAACAATAGTAAGCCTCTATTGCCAACTCCTAATTCTGGTAGCTCTAACTATACTAAGGGATTTACTAAGAGAGCCTTAAGCATAGATGAAATGAATGAAAAGAGGGAAAAGGGATTGTGTTACTTCTGTAATGAAAAGTATGTACCAGGCTATAGATGTAACAGTTCCAAACAATTATATCTACTGGAATTGGAAGAAATAGAGGAAAGGCCTTATGCAGGGGAAGGACAGGAGTTAGAAATTCAAGAGGAGGAAATAGACCTATTGGAATCATCTCAAGGTATGGAACAAATGGAAATTTCCATCCATGCCCAAAATGGTCCACTGGGGTACAGAACCTTAAAGGTTACTGGTTATCATGCAAAGAAGGCCTTAAGTATACTGATTGATACTGGTAGTTCACATAATTTCATAGATCCTGAATTTGTCAAACATTTAGGGTGTACAATCCAGTCTACCAAACCTCAATTAGTAGCTGCTGCTAATGGAAACATAATGGTAGATAGAGTATGTACAATTACTTGGCTGTTGCAAGGTGCTGAGTTTTCAGCAGAATTTTTACTGCTACCTTTAGGCTCATGTGGAGTAGTGTTAGAAGTGCAATGGCTACTAACACTTGGGGATACTAAAATGAACTTTAGGAATTTAACTATGGAGTTTTAGTATAAAGAAAGGAAACACCTTCTCAGAGGTGCTGGCAATCAAGTGAAGGTGCAGGAAGCTGATAAAATAGTCAAACATACAGGGGATCTATCTCAACTGTGTATGATACAACTGGTTCCTATGGGGGAGACAGAAGAACAATGGCATGCTATTAAGGCTGAGGAGGAACCTGTAGTAGATAATAGTCTCACACAATTGCTAACTGAATATTCTGGATTATTTGAAGAGCCTACTGGATTACCTCCTTCTAGGGGTGTCTTTGATCACAGGATTGTACTATAAAATGGTACTGATGGTATCCTTCAGTCAAGAAGGATATTATTGAGAGTCTTGTACAACAGATATTAGATCAAGGTATCATTCAACCTAGTTGCAGTTCTTTTGCATCACCAGTGGTACTAGTAGGTAAAAAGGATGGATCATGGAGGTTGTGTGTTGATTATAGAGATTTGAATAAGCATATGGTGAAGAATAAGTTTCTTATTCCTATTGTGGAATATTTGCTAGATGAACTTGGGGGCTCTAAGGTCTTCTCTATAGACCTATGGTCTGGATATCATCAGCTCAGAATGGCCAAGGAAGATGTGCCTAAGACTGCCTTCAGAACTCATTCTGGTCATTTTGAATATTTGGTAATGCCATTTGGCCTATCAAATGCTCCTGCAACTTTCCAAGGATTGATGAATTCTATTTTCCAGAAGTTTCTTAGGAAACATGTACTGGTTTTCTTTGATGATATTCTCATATACAGCAGCACTTTAGAGGATTACTTAACTCATTTGAAATCTGTTTTTGTGGACATGAGTAAACACCAGCTCTTTGCAAAAAAGAGCAAATGTTTCTTTGGGGTTCAGAAGATTGAGTATCTAGGACACTTCATCTCAGCTGAAGGAGTGTCTACTGATCCTCAAAAGATAGCAGTCCAAAACTGGCCTACACCAACAACCCTCAAACAGCTCAGGGGATTTCTAGGCCTAGCTGGTTATTACAGAAGATTTATTAAGGGTTTTGGGGTGATTTGCAAACCCCTGACTGACTTAACTAAGAAAGATGGGTTCAAGTGGTCAACTTCAGCAGATGCAGCTTTTGCAGCTTTGAAAGAAGCACTCACTCAAGCTCCTGTTCTAGCATTGCCAGATGCTACCAAGACCTTCATTGTAGAAACTTATGCCAGTGGTCATGGTATTGGGGTAGCACTTATGCAGGAAGGACATCCCATAGCTTTTATTAGCAAAGCTCTATCACCCAAGCATGCAGCTTTATCTGTATATGATAGAGAACTATTGGAAATGGTACATGCAGTGAGTAAATGGTCACAATATCTGTTGGGGCAGAAGTTCATCATCAGAACTGATCAAAAGGCCTTGAAGTATCTTATGGAGTAGACACTACACATTAATTCCCAACTACTATGGCTAACCAAATTAATGCCATTTGATTACTCAATAGAGTATAAGAAGGGTGTGGAGAACAAAGTAGCAGATGCCCTTTCTAGAGTAACTGGAGCTGAAATATTGACATTACTGGTTTCATCTAGTGATACTGATCTTTTCCAAGCTATAGTTGATAGCTGGAATTCTGATCAAGAACTAAGAAACTCATTAAAGAGTTAGAAGTTGATCCACTCACTCATAAACAGTTCACATGGTCCCAAGGCCAACTGAGAAGAAAAGGCAGATTGGTGATAGGTAAAGAACCACAATTGAGAAGAACAATCATGACTCTATGGCATGCAGCTCCTCAAGGGGGTCATTCAGGTGTTGAAGCTACCCTAAGGAGATTACTTACATTGTTTTACTGGAAAAAAATTAGGAATAAGGTGAAGGACTTTGTACAGAAATGTGATATTTGTCAGAAGAACAAATCTGACTTGGCAGCTTATCCAGGGTTGTTACAACCTTTACCTATCCCAGATGTGTTATGGTCTCAAATTAGTATGGACTTCATTGATGGCCTACCCAAATCAAAAGGCTATGAGGTGATATTAGTAGTGGTGGACAGACTTAGCAAGTATGGTCACTTCATTCCATTGAAATCCTTATACTGCTAAATCTGTAGCTCAAGTGTTCTTGGACACTGTGGTGATATTACATGGTCTTCCTGACACTATTACCAGTGATCGAGATGATGTCTTCCTTAGTCAATTCTGGCAAGAGCTATTCACATTACAAGGAGTTCAATTGAATACTTCTTCTGCATATCATCCTCAATCTGATGGTCAGACTGAGGTATTGAATAGAAGTTTGGAGACATACTTAAGATGTTACTGCAATGATGATGCTGCTAACTGGTACTCTTGCTTGCCTATGGCTGAGTACTGGTATAACACCTCATTTCATTCAGCCATACAGACCACCCCTTATGAAGCTTTGTATGCTCGACCACCTCCCTTACATTTACCTTACTTGCCAGGGGAGTCAGCCTCAGTCGAGGTGGATAACACCTTGATCAACAGGGAATTGATGCTCCAGCTGCTGAAGCACCATCTAATGAGAGCTCAACATAGAATGAAACAATAGGCAGATACTCACAGGAGTGATAGACAATTTGAGGTTGGTGATTGGGTCTACCTTAAAGTTCAACCATACAAGCAAGTGACTATATCTAATCATGCTTCTCACAAGTTAGCCTCTAAATACTATGGCCCTTTCCAAATTCTAAAAAGGGTGGGTTCAGTTGCCTATACGTTATTACTGCCTACTGGAGTTCAAATCCATCCCAAGTACATGTGTCATTGTTGAAACGATGTTATGAAACTCCATCACAGATTTCTTATCCACCTACTCTTGATCTGGCAAGTCCATATTGTCCTAATCCTGAAGCTATTTTACAAAGAAGGATGGTGAAGAAAGGAAACAAGGCGGTTGCACAAGTTTTGGTTAAATGGCAGGGGCTTCCTAATGAAGCTGCTACTTGGGAGTTTGCTACTGTCTTGCACACGAGATTTCCTACTTTTGATCCTTGTGGTCAAGGATCTTCGATTGGGGGGAGTACTGATACATGATTTTAGTAAGCTCAGCTCGACTAAAGTAGAATTGAGAAGCAAAAGTAAAGTCGGTAGTTAGTAGTCCAAAAGTTAGTTAAAGAGAGGGAAAGTTAGTTACATTAGTTAGTAGCTGAATAACAGAATTCTGTTATTAATTCTGTTAGATAGAATCTAGTTACATATGGAATGTATTGGAATGTATGAATCATTACATATAAGGATTGTAAACATCATTACAGGATATGATATACAATTACACAATTTCTCCTAAATCTCTCTATTCTTCTTCTTCCTTCTTCTCTCTTCTCTTCTGCAATTCTTTTCTGCTTCCTCGATTTGTTCCTGGAGCAGTGCTACGATCCTTGAATTCTCTTGAATTCCTGCAATCGTGTAACAGTTTGGCTTCATTGAGACATCCAGCATATGTTATTAGGAGGGTTTTCTTTAGGGCTTAAACATGGCTCTCCCACAGCCAACAGCTGGGGAGAGTTCACGGCAGCCATGGCTGCTCAAGGTTCCATGAAGTTGCCAAGAGAGAGAAGAGAGCATTTTTCCAAGCTTGGGGTTTTTTGTTTATTCGATTAACCTAGGATATATTTTTTATCACTTTATTTAACCTAGAACCTGCATCATTCTTGATTTTAACTGACAGGACGATTGGGCATACTGACGGCCTTAGTAAATTAAATATTGAGTTTTCATGTGGCGCATGATCTGAGTCTAAGTGTAAATGACTTAGAGTATCTAAGTATATGTAAGGCACTCACATAATGTAGTGTAAAATGCTTGGATGTTTTATTCTCAATCACCTTATTAGTACTTTGCTTGGATACCTTATCAACAGATCAATTGAAAATTCAATTACATTCGATTAACCTAGGATATGTTTTTGATGTTTTAAACGTTAATGCCACACAAGAGGGGGGGTGATTTGTGTGGTACCCAACTTTTGCTTAACTACTCTATAGAAGAACCTGGTTCTTCTAGGTGTTCCAACTACTACAGTTTGCGGAATAATAAATACTGAAAGTAAAGAACAAAGAGATTTTTACGTGGAAAACACCTGGCTCAAAAGGTGAAAAAACCACGACCTACTACTCAGTAGGATTTTTCCAAACTTCCACTAAAATCACTGAGCCATTTACAAAACTCTTTGTAAACCTAAGGATTAACTCTAATCCCGTTGTATCACATAGCCTCAACTATTGTGACAACTTCAAGTTAGCTATAACTTGAACACTCTAAGTACCTAATACAATTGCTTCTATGAAAGCTGAAAGGTACAATTTTAAACCACCTACTACAATTGAACTAGAATAAAAGAAAGACACAATGGAACTGATTCTTCTATCTCGTTCAAGTAGTTTCAGGAGTGCACACTCAAATCTCACATAAATTGCTTGCAAAATCGCCTTGCTCTTTTTCTCTCAATTTAGTTTAACTTCTGTGTTTGTGCAATACCTGTAAAAGAGAACAATCACTGTTATTTAATAGGCTAGTAATCAGAGTTTGATTGGGACTCAATTGCTGCTCTTCTATCGCAGAAGAGTTCACGATGATATCAAACTCTAACACTATCTTTATCCTGGATTGTGTTCTCTTCATATAAGGAGACTTTTGTCTCCTTATCTAATATGCAACTTTTTCGATCGGATCAGGAGATATTGCTGCTTTATCAGTAGGACTTATCTTCTTCACGTGCCTCTCACATGTATAGGTTGATCATGACTGTGCTTCACAAGATGGACCTGGTCCATGACTGAGTTCATTTGTCATTCTTCAAAACTTCACCCGTTCTTGGGCCAACAGTTTTTTTATCACTTTATTTAACCTAGAACCTGCATCATTCTTGATTTTAACTAGCAAGACGCTCGGGCATACTGACGGCCTTAGTAAATTAAATATTGAGTTTTAATGCGGGAGCTATCGAGTCTAAGTATGGACATCCAACACGCTATAACACACCGTTATTGCTTTTATCTCTCATCTTTTTCCTTCCTTATTACTAAAAAATAGTATTATTTTATCTTTTATCCTACCTTTTTGTATATAATTCTACCTCTTACCCTACTTTTTCATTGTAATATTGTAAGTTTATTTTTCATATTATTGGTAGGTAACATCATGAAACGATATTCACCAAGCTTTTCTATGCGGCAAGGTTTGAATCTAGAGATTTTTACATTTCTATACACTATATGAAATTATATTACCCTCCCTACTCAAGTTTTACTATAATTACATTTTATATACCCAATTACCATTTATGTACATTTTAAGGGAATTAATGATAATAATTAGTGTCCTAAAATTACTCTAACATATCTTCCACTCCCCCACGTTTCTCTCTCCACATCCCATCCCCCTCTCCCACGTATCTTGCTGTCACGACCCAATTTCCAACCCTGGTCGTGATGGCGCCTCTCGTGAAGACAAGGCCAGCCAACTAACCAATTAACCTTTTTCAAATAATTAAACATAAATGAATAGCAAAATACGCCTAAATGACACTAATTAACGATATCCACAACCCAACACAGCCCGACCGGGGTGTCACAAGTCACGAGCATCTAAAGGAGTCTGAACACTATTACAGGGCCAGTAATATACAAAATAAAAATCTGGAATCAAAGTCAAAGTCCGATGCCGCGAACGCTAGCGGTCACCTTACTCAGCTACAATAGCCATACCTTCAATCAGCTAATAACCCGCTACCGGGTAAACAATACCTACAACTGCACGCGAGGTGCAGGGAGTAAAGTGAGTACTTCCAACTCAGTGAGTAATAAGAGTAAATAACTAACTGAAGAGGGACAAGAAAATCACGTAAGAGGCACTCCATCATGAC